TGCACCATCTCCCTAATAGAGGTAGGGTCCGCCAACTCATGTGAGTCTCATGTCTATTAGTGCTGTGGTACAAATGATAGTACAAATAGATAGTAAGAGTTGCATTTTGCTCATATACCTCTCCATAAAGTCAATTTTTTTTTTGGTCAATATGTCGTCATAAACGCTTTGTATTTTATTATATTAAAATAATTTTAATCATATTAAAGGCACGTTCAAATATACCAACAAAAAATTTCATAGAATTTAATAAAACCCCTAAAAGGTTGTAACAAGGAATTTGAAACCCTCAATCCATGTTAAAAAGGGGCCAACACGGATTTTGAGATTAATATAACTCCTTACTTTTTTTCTTATGGGGCCAAAACGGATTTTGAGATTAATATATTTCCTTACTTTTTTTCTCATGAAACGATAGATTTGTTAAATTAGATGTTAGATTAGGGAGCCGACATGGTTCGAACCCCCGCCATAATGTAAGGGCAAACTCCTCTCCACCATTGTGGTAGATGGCCCCTTGTTGGTATAACTCCTTACTTTGGTCATTCAAATTTTAAATCGATAGAAGTAGTCACTGAGTTTATGCACCATCAATCATTTTGGTCATGCTAGGAAAATTTTTCATTGTTACTCTGAGTTAGAAAAATAGTATAAACTAATAGCAAGGCCATCAAAGAGATTTGTAGGTGTTGAAAAATCTTTGGGATGTCCTAAATTAATTTTATAAAACACGTGGTGCGTCTAAATGGACTCAAATTTTGGCTTATAATGAATCTTGTAAAAGTTATTAAAATCGATTGGAAAACATGGGTAACTCACAGTTTTTGGGAAAAATTGAAATTTTTAGTTTTAGGAAATATCTTGTGTGAGAATTAACGAAAATTTTGCAAGACCTTTGGATGTAATTTTTCCTTTATTAGGTCCCAAAGATATTTTTCATTAATTTTTAAAGTTGAAAATAGAAAAAAAATAATGAAAGCTAATAGTGGAGCCCCCAAAGAGATTTGTAGGTGTTCAAAATATTGGAAATTTCCTAAATTAATTTTAGAAAACATGTGGTGCGAGTAGAATGACTCCAACTTTAGCTTATTGTAAAAGTTCTGAAAATCGATTAGAAAATTGTGGGTAACTCACAGTTTTTGTGTTTTTTAGCTTTAGGAATATTTTGCGTTGGAGTTAAGATCTTGCAAGGCCTTTGGACGTGATCCTACCATTTATTAGGTCTCAGAATCATTTTTATTGATTTTTAAACTTGAAAAATAAAAGAATAGCTTTAAATTTAGATTTTAAATCGTTGATTTCAAGTGTTTAAATATGAATTATAATAGATTTTCTACAGAAAAAACATATTTTGAAAAACATGAATATGATAGTTTTTTGGTCAAATGATTATGATAGTTTGTTATTATGGTAAGAGAAATAAAAGAAAAATTAACAAATATAAAAATATAAAAAAAACTGAAAAATTAACATAAATATGAATTATAATAGAGTCGCTATAAAGCTAGCGACTTGATAGGAAATTAGTTGCTATATTTCTAGCGACTTATATGAAAATTAGTCGCTATAAACATAGCGAATTACTGGGAAATTAGTCGCTATTTTTCTAGCGACTTTTTTCACAAGTAGTTGATCTAAATATAGCGACTTATTTGCCGATTAGTCGCTAGAATTCTAGCAACCATGAATGAAGAGAATCGCTATCAAAGTACCGGTCGTATATATTTTTTTTTATTCTTTTCTACTTTTTTTTTTTTTTCATTGATTTTTTTTTTCTCCCTATGTTACTTTATTTAAAAGAAAACTAATGAAAAGGGTTTGAAAATTTTGAATTTTAATAATTAAGGACAAAATAAATGTTAAAGTGAATAGTACCATAACTGACTTTTTAGTGTAAAAATGTGGTTTTTCGTTAAAGTGAACAATACCGTGTGTTTTTCGTTAAAACTCCCTTATTTAAATTTAAATACCTTTAGATTTAAATTTAGATTTGTATCTTGTTTTCAAATTTTTTGATATGGATTATAAGAAGGGAGTTTTAACGAAATGCTTCCGGTACTGTTTACTTTTAACGAAAAATCACATTTTTACCTTTTTTCTGGCACTATTTACTAAACTTTTATTTGTCATTTTTCATTAAAACTAACGTTTTTTTGAATTTTTTGTTAATTTTCCTTTATAAGATACCATTCTTCATTTCGGCATCTACAAATCTCTTTGGGGCCTTGTGACAACCCGTCCCCAAAATATCAAAAACGTACGCGTGAAAAGACTATTTTGCCCCTAGTTTGATTTCATTACGTTTATTGGTTGTTTTTGTGTTGTGTTGGCATGTTTGGAACCACACACACACTCCCACACCTGTACACCTTTCTGTCCCTTTCCCTGTCTCTGTCCCGAGCCCATTTCCCTTCCCATTCACCATATACGTACGGACACACACCCAAAACCATCAAAACACCCATAGATCGAAGGAACAAAGCACATATTCGAGCTTGTGAGGCTCGTACGAGTCCAACCATACCATTTCCAGGTAAGAACTCCATCGTTTTCACGTCGATTCAACAATGTCCGATTTGAGGTACTATTCATACACACGTGATTTCTCACGTTTTAGGAAATTTTAAGCTTGTAGATAGCTTGGTGAGGTCCCAAGGAGGCTCGGAGTAGTTCGTTTGAAGGAATTGGACGTCGGGATCGTTGGTTTCGAAGTTGGCCGGAGTTGGATCGATTTTGCAGGTGAGATTTCGTGGTTTTTAACCCTTGAAAGTTGTATGAATGTGTTCCTCTAGTCCTAGGCTTCATTTTGGTACCAAAATTATGAAAATTGGATGAAAAACGAAGGAGATATCGAAGTTTAAAGTTTTCGCGATTTTCCGGCGCCGGAGGCTCGCCGGGGAAGAAGACGGAATATTCCGTCAAGTCTGACGGAATATTCCTGACGCCATTGACGGAATCTGTCAAAACTGACGAAATATTCCCTACGGCGTCAGTTGACGCCGTCAGCGTGCCAGGCACGTGCTTGTGCGTGGCCGGCGCGTGGGGGCGCGTGCGGCGGTGAAAAATTATTTTAAAAATTTGGGGATGTTCGTGAGGTTGAGTAGATCACGTTGGTGTATTCATACACCCCATTTGGCAATGTATGAGAAGTTATTTCTAAAGTTTGGTTATGTACTTTAAAATTAACGTTTTTATAGTTTTTTCGCATATAGGTGAGACATATCCCGAGGACGAGCGTGGTCACTCGAGGCAGGGGGGTTACGACCCTTCCACTTACTAGTGAGTGGGCTTTTGGTTTTCCGTATATACCTATATACTTATATTTTCCCAGAAATCGATTTAAATGTTTATTAGTTATATGCCATGCATTATATTATCGTCAATTATCCATCATTAGTTGCATTATTGGGCGTATATATTTTTATACATATGCATATTTGGTGCTGTGGACGCACAGATAAGTGCCAGGTAAGTGTTATTCACGTTTATATTCAGTAGTGATTCGAGATGCTTAGAGAGCTCATAACCTGCACCCCCGGTGTTAGTGCTCCCACCCAGAGTAGGGCACAGTCCTTCACGTGTTGTTCACCTCCCGCACCACACGCTCAGCTTGGATCCAAGTTAGGTGCACAGTCCTGTCGTACAGACCACCTTAGGTGGTTCCGACTCGTAGGTGACCCGCGATTATTCACACAGCCTTCACGTGATCGTAGCACTAGAGCGTTTATACGTATTACACCCAGGCCTGTCGTACAGACCACTATAGGTGGTTCCGACTTGTGGACAGGTTCAGTTATTGTGATTGAGATCTGAGCTCTAGATGCAGCCGTACAGGTCACGTTAGGTGACTCCGGCTGCCAGATTATATGTTATTGATATGATTTATACCTGAGCACTTGCATTTCATTCTGAGGTTCTGACATGGCATATTCTTAAGCATGATTGGCATATCTATATTTATATACATATGTTTATTTTCTGGGAAGTATACAGGTTTTACGGCGAGGGGTTAGAATCTTGTCTTTGAAATGGTTTTCGAAAAGCTTTGTTTTTGCCCACTCACGCTTTTGATTTGCGCCCCTCCAGGTTCTAGCTGTTCAGTTGGTTTGGTGGTTTCCCAGAGGGCTTTCCCGGCATTTCTGACAAACGATCACCAGCGTAGGGCCACCTTCGGGTGTACTGTTGTAGCGTCATTTTAGTTTGGACTGCTTTAGGCTTTCTGCTCTGAACTTGTGCCTCACTTCGCTAGCACTTATTACTTCTACCTGATGTATGCTAGTTTTTATTTATTCGTACTTTTACGTTACTACTTTATTAGCTTCCGCACTGTGCACATGGCTACGTCACTTCCACGTGACGGCCAGCACGCCCTGATCTCGTTCGGGGTGTGTCAGGCCTCGCTATTGTTTATGAAATTGAGAATATTTTGTCATATTAGTTCTTATTTAGGTAAATTTTTGATGAAAATGATAGATGATGGACAAATTTAAAAAACATTTTTAAGGATTTCGAATCTCAAAAATGAGAGTAAAATGTTATGTCAATTTTGACCATTTTTGGCTAAAAGAGAGGGAAGGTCGCTTGGCGAGAGATTTTTCAATATGATCGGAACACGAGATAGTATATCATGTGTCATTATACAAATAATGTGATATGTGTCTTAAAAAGTTAATAACTTAAAAAATAAAAATTTTCATTACTTATATAAAAATATGTGATATACCATTCATATTCCGATCACAATAAAAATTTTATCGTTCTTGGCGTTGGTGAAGGTCAAAGGATTCCAGGTGGTAGTCTTGTCACCCGCCACTCTCTCTCTCTCCCTCCACGCGTCTTTTTCCCAACCTTCCCCGCTCCCCTAATTTTGGCACGCACGCTCTGTTGTTATCTCCCTCTCTGACCCTCACCTTCCAAATTCTGTTACCTCTCTCCAAGTAAATAGGAACCCACACTTTATGTGTCACATTCATTAAGCAGAGAAGCGCTAGGAGAGTCCGTCGTGTTGAGCATGTTCACTTACCAGCTCAATGTCTGTTATGCAGGTGAAGCAGCCTGGACTTGAGATGTCAACTGTCCAAAGTGAATTAGACTTGTCATACGGGCAACGTTATCAAGGGGTAACTATCCCGGAGGCTTATGAACGTCTAATTCTTGACACGTAAGGCACCCACCTTTCTATTTTCAGAATCTTTTATGCTTATGAACGTCTAATTCTTCCTCTCAACTTGAAGGACAATGCCATAAGATAACAATCATGACAATTGGTATTTGTTTTGACAGAATAAGAGGCGATCAACAACATTTTGTGCGAAGAGACGAGTTGAAGGTAATATCATACACTTTTTCTTTTCCGATTACAACATCTTACACTTATTTTCTTGGCATGCTGCCATTTTCTCAACTGACTGATTCATTGTGTCAATAAATGATCAGGCGGCGTGGGAAATCTTCACCCCTCTTCTGCACAGGATTGACAATGGTGAAGTAAAGCCGCTTCCATACCAACCAGGCAGTCGGGGTTCTGCAGAAGCAGATGCACTGCTGGAAAAAGTTGGTTACGTACAAACACATGGCTACATATGGATCCCTCCTACCTTGTAGAATGCTCGTCTTTCTAACCAGCCCAGGCGTGCCCTTCTGCAGTGTGCCGGAAAACTGTTGTTTTTACATTGTCAGCTTTTCTAAGCTATGCAACCAGAATAAGAGTGCAGTATGATATGTGTCTTCAAAAGACCTAAACGCCGGCGTTTTTACGAGGGTGTGTCGATAGGGGTCACACGAAATGGACTTGTTGAAGAGTGTTTTGTTCCTATTAAAACATGAACAAATGTTGGGAGGGGAGAAACTCTAAACTCGAATGCAGAATCTCGGATGCATAGATAAATAAAAGAGTTGATTGCTGGTCCTAATATTTTTCTTTGTTACGGTTTCCTTAATAACAGAAAGAAAATTTGAGCTCGTTTGAGAATGTTTCTTTAGAAATCACTTCTACTTAAAAATGCTTTTATTACAAGCACATCGTGAAACATTTGAAAGTACATTTTTCAAAAACACTTGTTGAAAACGGTGGAGGATTATCTCCCTTTCTAATCTATTTTTCTCTCTCATCTCATACTTGAATGGTCACGATTAAGTTACATTAACATTTTATATTGATTTTTTATAGAGATAATAAGATAAAAAGCAAAGTGTGAGAGGAGGAGAGGGAACAGGATAGGAATAAGATGAGAGAAAATTGTACTCCGTTGAAAACACTCATAGTTGAGTAACGCTACGTTTACCATCTATTTGTACCATCTCCCTAATAGAGGTAGGGTCCGCCAACGCATTTGGGTCTCATCTCTATTAGTGATGTGGTGCAAATGATAGTACAAATAGATAGTAAGAGTTGCATTTTGCTCATAGACCTCTCCAGAAAGTCAAAAAAAAAAAATTTGGTCAAAATGTCGTCATAAACGCTTTGCTTTGTATTTTATTATATTAAAATAATTTTAATCATTTTAAAGGCACGTTCAAATATACCAACAAAAAATTTCATAGAATTTAATAAAACCCCTAAAAGGTTGTAATAAGGAATTTGAAACCCTCAATCCATGTTAAAAAGGGGCCAACACGGATTTTGAGATTAATATAACTCCTTACTTTTTTTCTCATGAAACGATAGATTTGTTAAATTAGATGTTAGATTAGGGAGCCGACATGGTTCGAACCCCCCGCCATAATGTAAGGGCAAACTCCTCTCCACCACTGTGGTAGAGGGCCCCTTGTCGGTATAACTCCTTACTTTGGTCATTTAAATTTTAAATTGATAGAAGTAGTCTCTGAGTTTATGCACCATCAATCATTTTGGTCATGCTAGGAAAAATTTTCGTTGTTACTCTGAGTTAGAAAAATAGTATAAACTAATAGCAAGGCCATCAAAGAGATTTGTAGGTGTTGAAAAATCTTTGGGATGTCCTAAATTAATTTTATAAAACACGTGGTGCGTCTAAATGGACTCAAATTTTGGCTTATAATGAATCTTGTAAAAGTTATTAAAATCGATTGGAAAACATGGGTAACTCACAGTTTTTGGGAAAAATTGAAATTTTTAGTTTTAGGAAATATCTTGTGTGAGAATTAACGAAAATTTTGCAAGACCTTTGGATGTAATTTTTCCTTTATTAGGTCCCAAAGATATTTTTCATTAATTTTTAAAGTTGAAAATAGAAAAAAAAAATAATGAAAGCTAATAGTGGAGCCCCCAAAGAGATTTGTAGGTGTTCAAAATATTGGAAATTTCCTAAATTAATTTTAGAAAACATGTGGTGCGAGTAGAATGACTCCAACTTTAGCTTATTGTAAAAGTTCTGAAAATCGATTAGAAAATTGTGGGTAACTCACAGTTTTTGTGTTTTTTAGCTTTAGGAAATATTTTGCGTTGGAGTTAAGATCTTGCAAGGCCTTTGGACGTGATCCTACCATTTATTAGGTCTCAGAATCATTTTTATTGATTTTTAAACTTGAAAAATAAAATAATAGCTTTAAATTTAGATTTTAAATCGTTGATTTTCAAGTGTTTTAATATGAATTATAATAGATTTTGTACAGAAAAAACATATTTTGAAAAACATGAATATGATAGTTTTTTGGTCAAATAATTATGATAGTTTGTTATTATGGTAAGAGAAATAAAAGAAAAATTAACAAATATAAAAATATAAAAAAAAAAACTGAAAAATTAACATAAATATGAATTATAATAGAGTCGCTATAGTGCGAGCGACTTAGTGGGAAATTGGTTGCTATATTTCTAGCGACTGATATGAAAATAAGTCGCTATAAAGCTAGCGACTTTGTGGGAAATAAGTCGCTATATTTGTAGCGACTTATCTGAAAATTAGTCGCTATAAATTTAGCGACTTTTTGTAGAAATAGTTGATATAAATATAGCGACTTATTTGCTAAGTAGTCGCTAGCATTCGAGCAACCATAAATGAATAGAATCGCTATCAAAGTACCGGTTGTAAATTTTTTTTTATTCTTTTCTACTTTTTTTTTCTCCCTATGTTACTTTATTTAAAAAGAAAACTAATGAAAAGTGTTTGAAAACTTTGAGTTTTAATAATTAAGGACAAAATAAATGGTAAAGTGAATAGTACCATGATTGACTTTTTAGTGTAAAAATGTGATTTTTCGTTAAAGTGAACAGTACCGTGTGCTTTTCGTTAAAACTTCCTTATTTAAATTTAAATACCTTTAGATTTAAATTTAGATTTGTATCTTGTTTTCAAAATTTTTGATATGGATTATAAGAAGGGAGTTTTAACGAAATACTTCCGGTACTGTTCACTTTTAACGAAAAATCACATTTTTACCTTTTTTCTGGCACTATTTACTAAACCTTTATTTGTCATTTTTCATTAAAACTAAAGTTTTTTTGAATTTTTTGTTAATTTTCCTTTATAAGATACCATTCTTCATTTCGGCATCTACAAATCTCTTTGGGGCCTCGCTATTGTTTATGAAATTGAGAATATTTTGTCATATTAGTTTTTATTTAAGTAAATTTTTTATGAAAATAATAAATGATGGACAAACTTAAAAAACATTTTTAACGATTTCGAATCTCAAAAATGAGAGTAAAATGTTATGTCAATTTTGACCATTTTTGGCTAAAAGAGAGGGAAGGTCGCTTGGCGAGAGATTTTTCAATATGATCGGAACACGAGATAGTATATTATGTGTCATTATACAAATGATGTGATATATGTGTTAAAAAGTTAATAACTTAAAAAATAAAAATTTTCATTACTTATATAAAAACATGTGATGTACCGTTCATATTCCGATCACAATGAAAATTTTATCGTTCTTGGCGTTGGTGAAGGTCAAAGGATTCCAGGTGGTAGTCTTGTCACCCGCCACTCTCTCTCTCCCTCCACGCGTCTTTTTCCCAACCTTCACCGCTCCCCTAATTTTGGCACGCACGCTCTGTTGTTATCTCCCTCTCTGACCCTCACCTTCCAAATTCTGTTACCTCTCTCCCTCTCCTTCTCCTCCTCCTCTTTGGTTTTCCTTCTCTCTCTCTCTCTCTCTCTCTCTCTAACTTTTTCTCTCTACCTCTTTCCTCATTGAGTTGGGTGATTGGTGGGTCGGTTGCTTGCATCGCTGGGTCAGACTGTTTTTCCTCTTCCGCATCAGATTCGGTAAATTTCAATCTTTTTCCTAGTCTCCGTATCCGTTTCAATCTTTTCTTTTATCTACTACCCACATTAGGATTTTGCTTCTCTGAATTCCTAATTCCCAATTTCCACTAGGGTTTCTCTGAATTCAGCTTGATTGGTGCTCCTAAGTCGTATAAAATTTGTGAAATTTTTGCTTTTTGTTTGAGAATCGGCCTATTAGGAAGTTGGGTTTTTCACATAATCCAGAAATTCAGGTGCTTTTTGCTTCCTTTCTGTTTTTTTTTGGCCTCCTATCTATGAAATTTTTGCCTCGTGTTAAAGAAGAACCAGGTTTCTTGGTATAAATTTCTGTATATATTCTATCTCTTAGCTGCAAAGGATGGTTTTGAATCTCTCTCGTGGCTCAATCTTGCCGGCTTATCCGTCCTCGGAGCATAGTTTGTGTTCTTCTGTTAAGTACCCTGATGGGTATGTGATGGATCAATTCAAGGAAAAGGATTTGGATGGTATTTGCGATGATCCGTCAAGTTCTTGGAGTTCCAATTTGGATTTGAAGAATACCCATTGTAAGAGTGAATTGGGTGGCTTTTGTGACCGTTCTGCTGATGATATTGTGGATCAATTGCCTGTCGATCCCTTTGGAATGGAGATTAGGTCTACGTTTACGGCGATCGCTGGTTGGTTGCAAGGTTTTGAACCGGATGATGAATCTTGTATTTCTGGGTGGGATGAAGCAAAGGCAAAGGTGGTTGATGGCGGATTGTTTACCGGTCTGAATTGGGTTTGGAATAGCGCTGTGTGGTATCAGCCGGAAGTTTGTGACCTGAAATTTGATGGAGTATCAATCCCATATGATAGCTTTGATGGGTTCGGGATCAGTGATGCAGGTTTTGTATTGGATGACAATGTGGAGGAGTTTCTGAGTTTTAGCTATATGGGGGACTTAGATGTTTTTGATGGAGCTAAGCAACTGCAGGTTGGAACTAAGGAAATACAGGGTTGTAGCATCATGTGTCCTGATAGTGAGGCGAGTGCTCCGCATGATGCTATGTTTTATGCACTGCGTTTTCTTGGTGTTAAGGACCTTCTTTCGGTTGAAAGGGTTTGCAAGTCTTTTCGTAATGCAGTTAGAAGTGACCCTCTTCTATGGAGGAGTATTATCATCGATTGGCCATTGAATGAGCGCATCACCGATGATGTTCTAGTAAAATTAACTACCAGGGCTCAAGGCACACTTCAAACCTTGGGTCTAGTGCATTGCGTAAGGATCACTGACAGTGGGCTGCAGGGTGTGTTTGACAGCAACCCGAGGTTGACAAAGGTGAGTATTTGAACTTTTGTATTTTCGACATTCCTGCTTGTGTTTCTGATTATGATATTGTATAACAGGATACCTCTCTATTGTTCTGTGACATTTAAAAAAAATGCTTTTATGTTGCTTTCCCTTAGAATAAACTGTTCTGAAGTTACATTCCCTATTTGATTTCTGTGAAAACATTTGTTGTGTGTCTCTTACTATAACTTCTCGTTTGCTGTAAGTTATTGAAATTGAACTTTATGAAGTGATTGTAGCTTACAACCCTGTTGAAATTGAACTCTTATTCGTTTATAGCAAGTAGGTTGAAGACTATATCATCCCTGTAATGGTTTTTTAGGGTCTTAATAGTTGGATGTTATATGAATATCAATAGATTTGACAATTTACGCAGCTCTTGATGCTGAACATGATTAGTGTTTTGTTGTAGTTTTTGTTTTTTGATCATTTAGCTGAAATTCCGGCTAATTTTTATTTTGTGAACCTGGTACTGCTGTTTACCGATATTTTGCATCTTGTATTTATCATTTTAAATGTGTGAAATTTAGAGGAGTGTGTTATGCCTATTTTTATGTAGTTTATGTTCTTTCAAATGCATTAAACTTATATACATACACTTTTTTGCCTGTGCAGTTAAGTGTTCCCGGATGTCTTAAAATCAGTGTTGAGTGCATCTTGTTAAACATAAGGACCTTGAAGTCTGCAGGCAACCCTGGAATAAAGCAGTTAAGAATTGCTGGTCTCTCTGGTATAACTGACAAGCAGTTCGAAGAGTTGAAATTCTTGCTTGGTGCAGATAACCACATTCAGCTTAGAGCCCCGAAACCTCGGTTTTTTAAAGGTGGGTTGTTGTATGGCTCTTGTGATGATGATTGTCCCATCGACATCGAAGCATGCCCCAGGTGCCAGAGACTTAGTTTAGTTTATGATTGCCCAGCAAGGAGTTGCCAAGGGAAACAACCTGCTGATCAGACATGTAGGGCTTGCACGCTCTGCATAGCTCGCTGTATTAGTTGCGGGTGCTGCCTTAAAGACTGCGATTATGAGGAGACATTTTGTCTAGACTTGCTTTGCTTGCATTGTTTGGAGAGTCTACTTAACTGTCAAGAGAAGCATGGAGAAAAGGGCGCTCCCAAGTGCGCCATATTCTGTCAGGAGAACAGGTATCAATTTTGCCTTTTTGGCTAAGAGAAAGACATCAGGTATTCATTTGCTGTTGGTTGTGGATCCGAATCTACGAGGTTCGGGTGTTCAAAAGTGGGCAGAAGCTGTTTAGTGCATGCTTTGTTGGGGCAGTAAGGATTTGTATTACCATGAGGAAGCTGCAGCTTGTAAAGCTAGAGATAATCTCCTGGGAAACGAAATTGAAATTTCAAAAAAAAAAAAAATTAGAAAAAAAGAGAAAGAAAAGGGAAAGAAAAAGAAGAGAGTGAAGATTAAACTGTGAGGAGGAGAGGAGGTTACACACGAAAGGTTGATTGATAAAGAAACAGGAGATAACATATAAAAGATCCAGAAGTTTATTTTGAACGTGTTTTAGCTCGTTCTGTGTTTGGTTCCTGTCCTGGAGACTTACCCAAGGGCGATGAAGAAAAGATGTCGGAAAGTTGAAGCAGCGGGTGTTAGTAGCTGTCGATTGTTAGTCGAAGCAGATACCATAGTCAAAGTTGGTGTTAAGTTTTATGGGTGAAGATGAAGAGCAGCAGCCGTACAGGGAGAAGCAGAAAGTCACGGCAGAGCTGGACGGAGTTATGAAATGCTACTACCCGTGCCACCACCTCTGCCGGTAGGATGCTACAGTTGGATGATTGCGAAGGATGTTTGTGCCACGGTTGGTGGAATGCGCAGTACTAATTCAGTTGAAAGCTACAGAAGTACTTTTTTCTCTTCCTCTTTGGGAAGATAATACAGACGCAGTGTTGATCTTATTTCTATGTTGCTAATGTGATTTCTTCTCATTTTATCCTTTTGAGAATTGCTGCTATGCACATTTTCAAGTGCTTGATTTCTGTTGCTAAATTTCCATTACTAGATCTGTTATTGCATACTTCTGTATTTCACACGATACGTTTTGGGTTCAACTCTTAGCGCTAATAAATTACACAATGGACAGGGAAGGTTCAAACGCTTTTGTAAATCTTTCTGACATTTGGAAGGATGGACTGTCATGACAAAGTCTCCAATTGATTATTATTATTATTTTTAAAACTACGACCTGTAATTTTGGCATGTGACATTACGATCAATACTTAAGGTTATGTGTTTTAACTTTTTTTTGTTTTTTTTTTTTTTTTTGGAAAATATGTGTTTTAACTTTTCACTTGACATTGTGTTTTTAGTTCGAATGTCACAATGGGGTCGGTGTTTGACATGAATTTCTACAATTCGGGAACAAAAATGGAGAAATTTTTGCACTTTCTGCTTGATGTAAACTTTCGCATGGAACAGGTTGATGTGTCTCATTTCTCCGAATTATTAATAAAAAACAAATATATGTTATAATTTAAATGAACCTTTCATTAATTCTCCGGAGCTTTTCATTAATTTTTTGTTCGTCGTGATTCTTATGGTTTAATTTTTGTGGGATACTACTGGCTTTAGCTTGGTTGCTTCCCATCCTGGTGACGATGAGAAGATTCGAGAGAAGGGAAATGAGGGGTGTAGGGTTTATGTGATTTTTGTCATAAAACCCTAACTACTTGGGCGAGAGGAAAACTACGAAATGGGCCTGGGCTTTTATTGTTGTTTGGATAACGGGCCTAAACCCATCAACTCATCAATAGATTTATTTGGGGCCCAACATTCTTAATATTATTGGAGATTGTCTTTTATCTGCTTAGCACTCCAAAATTTCCTGCACTTTTTGTATGGGAGTGCCGATAATAGCTGCCTATACACATGGAAAGGAAAAACCTAATTTAACCGAGTTCGATTTAAGAATATTGGATATATGCAAGGGCATTCGTTGTTGGTTCACAGTCTTCGCAAAGACGATAAATGATTTTCGCACACATCTTTTCTTCTTTTTTGCATTTTTTTAATTTGAAATTGAATAAATAAAAGGAAAATCACTTCTCAGAATGAAAAAAAAAAAGACTGACTTGTGGATGAGAGAAAGAAGTGAAACTCCTATCACAGTGATTCAAAGGTAAGAAAATCTCAGTGTTCTATGTAAGTTGTTTGTCATCAATTAAAACCCTAATTAATTAAGTTGTTTTTCCTAATTTTTGCTGTTTGTGTAGATGCATGACCATGGCTTTTCTTAAGAAGAAAAAAATTAAGATATTGTAATTCGGTTCCTTTCTGAATGGAAGTGACATATGAAGGTAGCATGAAATGCTTATGTATTTGCAGAAGATATACACTTTAATATAAAGGATATTGAATCATTGCAGGGTCCACACTTTTTCTCTTTTCTTTTTGTTTATTTATGACATTTAAATTTAATAAATTAAAGAAAAATCAACATAAAAATAACAGTGTTTTATTAATTAGAAAGCCTATGATATTGAAAGAATTTTTAGTGGGAACGGAGCACTGAGGTGGAATATCACGTGTCAATATTGTTGGAATACTTTAAAAAAAAAATTTCCTCCAATTGTATAATAATATGTGATGCTCTGCCGTGTTCCGAGCACGTTAAAAAATCTCTCTATGATATCGGAGTGCATGCGAAATTACAAATGTGTTCATGCTTTTTCCTTTGTTCTTAGGTCAACTTGGAGGGACATTTGTTGTCGTGAAGGTATGTAAAGAAACGTCACACATTGGAAGTTTGCTCAATCTTGCAAGTCCTTATAAGAAGTTTGATTCTTTCCTATGTTGACAATTAGTTTTATGATGAAACTTCAATTTTTTTATTTTTTCAAGCACTTTATAGACTATAAATGTAGATTTCACTTGTCAAACTAAAAATAGGTGCGATCATAAGTAGAACTTGGATTTGGTACTTGTCAAAGGAATTGGATCCTCTCCTGAGCAGGAGATGAGGATCCTCTTGACCCAGTAACATGGGCCGTTGGATTTTGATCCAACGGCTACAATTATTGTAACTTTTAGATGGGCCTCCTGTTTGTAGCCGTTAGATCAAAATCCAATGGCCCGTGTTAGTGAGTCAGGAGGATCGTGATCTCTTGCTCAGGAGAGGATCCAATTACCTTGTCAAACTCAAAATAGGTGTGAAATTATTTGGTGGTCCCCTCTGAGTTTGTACGCTTTCTACTTAAACATTCTTATGTGGGTGTGGGATGTTATAATCACAAAAGTAATAGCCCAAGACATGATTAATAAGGTGATAGTGAGCACTGCAATAATTGGGCGAGCTGCTGCATGCAACTCAACACACACACGTATTTAAAAAGATTTGTTGTTGTGTCAAAATGGAGACCATCGAATTATCATATGCTTTAACCTTTGTGATTATAGCCCAAGACATGATTAATAAGGTGATAGTGAGCGCTGCGATAATTGGGCGAGCTGCTGCATGCAGCTCAACACACACGCATTTAAAAAGATTCGTTGTTGTGTCAAAATGGAGACCATAAATCGAATTATCAACACACACACGCATTTAAAAAGATTCGCTGTTGTGTCAAAATGGAGACCATCGAATTATCAACACTCACACGCATTTAAAAAGATTTGTTGTTGTGTCAAAATGGAGACCATCGAATTATCATATGCTTTAACCTTTGTTTTTATAGCCCCATACATGGTTAATAAGGTGATAGTGAGCGCTGCAATAATTGGGTGAGCTGTTACATGCAGCTCAACACACACACGCATTTAAAAAGATTCACTGTTGTGTCGAAATAGAGACCATCGAATTATCATATGCTTTAACCTTGCAACGGCACATAAGATTGTTTAGATTTCACCTGTCAAACTCAAAAAAGGTGCGTTCATAAGTAGAACTTGGACATCGCTGGTTTGATGGTCCTCACGAGTTCACAACGCTTTCTAGACAGAGCACTGATTTTAATGAATCAATATTTTGAATCGATATTTTGGTGCTCCTCATGAGTTTGCAATGCTTTATTGATTTTTTGGTGGTCCTCATGAATCAATATTTTGAGTTTGTGATAGTGAAATCAATATTATTGGGGCGAGCTGCTGCATGCAGCTCAACACACACACGCGTTTAAAAAGATTCACTATCGTGTTAAAATAGAGACACATCGAATTATCATATGTTTTAATCCAAGACATGATTAATAAGGTGATCAATCAACGAAATAATAAAGCGCTTGTATCAAATTCTTGTCGTGCGGCACTATTAATGAAGCACTTTTTATCTACCTAAAGTTTGATTCCTATAATTCACACCGTGCAAATCTATGCACATTTTTGAATGAGAAAGGAGGTTAAGGAATCCTTTTGCCACTCTCCCACTCCAGTCGTTGCCTTTTTAAATATTGTTTTTAAAAGAAGAATAATGCTGTTTCGAAGAAGTGGTCCTACTTTCTATATCCCTATATATACAGAGCTCGTCTTTCAAAAAGAGAAAACAGAGCCCTTGCGTCTGTGTGTGTGTTGTGTGTGTGTGTCTGTGAATGTGTGACGTGTCTTTGATTTGAATTTTGTTTTTGTGCTCCTTTGTACAGAAGTTTCATATATTCGTACATGGATCGTGTCGCAGAGCTTCCTGTTAGCGTCCCTCCACATTCGGAACTGGAAGGGTAAGTGTATACTTCCTTTTTTTTTGGCCTTTTACGTGGGGAAAATGATGGGAAGACAAAAAAGAACTGATTAATTAGCAATTAATCTATACAACTCAGCTCTTGATAACTCTAGGCAGTTTTTTGACAAATTAAGAGCGTCGAATGACTAGATATATTCGTTATTAATAAACATTAAAGAAAATAACAGCCTGCTAGGTACCCTGTTACAACTTACCTACTTAATTAGTTGATTTCAGATGATACATTGGCTTGATTAATTTATAATATATCATACGTTATTAATTAGTTGATTTTAGATGATATAACTTGATTAATTTATGGATCTATCATACGTTCTCAATTAGTTGATTTCAGATCATATATTGACTTGATTAATTTACAGATATATTCGCATGTGATGTGTACAACCAACATCCAATGAGATAAATTCATTAACTGACGTGGTATGTACACATCACTTGCCACGTCATATTAGTACACAAATGTGATACAAAAATATGGTCTCCCTAGCATTTTCTTATTAGTTGAGATTACAAAATGTATTGTAGATGATTCATTAATGCAATTCCATTTAATTTTCTCATTAACTATATATATAACAGCACAAGTGAAGAACGTTCTACAAAGGTGCATAAATATATATGTTCCCTCATCAACATGCTAGGCGGTTTCCTCCAACTGAAGCAGAGAGCCAGAAATGAGTCTCTGTTCAACACAAACTACCCGGCTATGGTGTCCGTAATCATTGCTCTAATTGCTTATATTGGATCACTAATTTGCTCTAGAATACTCCACGTGCAAGCTCGCCATAATTCGGATTTGGCAGAATCATTCATCAATAAGATTAGCCTCCACCTTGGAACTCTTTCATTGATTTTAGAAGTGGTGATCCTTGTGCCAAGTTTAGGGCTAGTCGCCGGATTCTTTTGGGTTGTTTGGTTTGTGAAGGTTGTGGCTGAGTACGTATGCGAATACCTTAAAACGTTGTATGAAGATGCAGTTGCATCAATTATTCATACATTTGGCAAATTGAAAGACTATTTGAATATGATCATCCGACGTTTCGCAACAGAACCCAACGAACAAAATGATGAGCTTTCTTAAGTAACTTCTACCACGGTTTAGATTTGAGATATTATTTGTACTCGTTATTTTTTAATCTTATTTATACTTGTGCATGACCAAAAGTAGGAGTAGTTTCAAATATAGAAGAAGAGCGTTAGATATGGATGTACTTACGGATGATAAGATGAACAAAAATGTATAAATAAAAATTACTTTTAACTTTTAATTGTACTACGCATGTTACACTTTTTTCAAGCTGTCATGTTCAAATAATGATGATATATTTTGATACATTGGTCCAAAACAAATCACGATTCCAGGTGGTAGACCTGTCGGCCGCCACTGTCTCGCTCTCTCCCCCTCCGCGCGTCTTTTTCCCAACCTTCCCCGCTTTTACTCTCTGTCACGCACGTTCTGTTGTTATCTCCCTCTCTGCCCCTCACCTTCCAATTTCTCTTACCTAGTTACCTCCCTCCCTCTCCTCCTCCTCCTCCTCCTCCTCCTCCTCCTCTTCTTTGGTTTTCGTCCTCTCTCTCTAACTTTCCCTCTCTACCTCTTTCCTCTTTGAGTTGGGTGATTGGTCGGTCGGTTGCTTGCATCGCTGGGTCAGACTGCTTTTCCTCTTCCGCATCAGATTCGGTAAATTTCAATCTTTCTCCTTTTAATCTCCGTACCCGTTTCAATCTTTTCTTTTATCTACTACCCACATTAGGATTTTGCTTCTCTGAATTCCTAATTCCCAATTTCCACTAGGGTTTCTCTGAATTCAGCTTGTTTGGTACTCCTAAATCGTATAAAATTTGTGAACTTTTTGCTTTTTGTTTGAGAATCGGCCTATTAGGAAGTTGGGTTTTTCATATAATCCAGAAATTCAGATGCTTTTTGATTCCTTTCTGTTTTTTTTTTTTTTTTTGCCTTCTATCTATGGAATTTTTGCCTTGTGTTAGGAGAACCAGGTTTCTTGGAATGAATTTCTGTATATATTCTATCTCTTAGCTGCGAGGAATGGCTTTGAATCTCTCTCGTGGCTCAATCTTGCCGGCGTATATGTCATCGGAGCATAGTTTGTGTTCTTCTGTTAAGTACCCTGATGGGTATGTGATGGATCAATTCAAGGAAAAGGATTTGGATGGTATTTGTGATGATCCGTCAAGTTCTTGGAGTTCCAATTTGGATTTGAAGAATATCCATTGTAAGAGTGAATTGGGTGGCTTTTGTGACCGTTCTGCTGATGATATTGTGGATCGATTGCCCGTCGATCCCTTTGGAATGGAGATTAGGTCTACGTTTACGGCGATCGCTGGTTGGTTTCAAGGTTTTGAACCGGATGATGAATCTTGTAGTTCTGGGTGGGATGAAGGATAGGCAAAGGTGGTTGATGGCGGATTGTTTACCAGTCTGAATTGGGTTTGGAATAGCGCTGTGTGGTATCAGCCGGAAGTTTGTGACCTGAAATTTGATGGAGTATCAATCCCATATGATAGCTTTGATGGGTTCGGGATCAGTGATGGAGGTTTTGTATTGGATGACAATGTGGAGGAGTTTCTGAGTTTTAGCTATGTGGGGGACTTAGATGTTTTTGATGGAGTTAAGCAGCTGCAGGTTGGAACTAAGGAAATACAGGGTTGTAGCATCATGGGTCCTGATATTGACTATTGAGGCGAGTGTTCCGCATGATGCTATGTTTTATGCACTGCGTTTTTCTTGGTGTTAAGGACCTTCTTTCAGTTGAAAGGGTTTGCAAGTCTTTTCGTAATGCAGTTAGAAGTGACCCTCTTCTATGGAGGAATATTATCATCGATTGGCCGTTGAATGAGCGCATCTTCGATTATGTTCTAGTAAAATTAACTAGCAGGGCTCAAGGCACACTTCAAACCTTGGGTCTAGTGCATTGCGTAAGGATCACTGACAGTGGGCTGCAGGGTGTGTTTGACAGCAACCCGAGGTTGACAAAGGTGAGTATTTGAACTTTTGTATTTTCGACATTCCTGCTTGTGTTTCTGATTATGATTTTGTATAACAGGATACCTCTCTATTGTTCTGTGACATTTTAAAAAAGATGCTTTTATGCTGCTTTCCCTTGGAATAAACTGTTCTGAAGTTGCATTCCCTATTTGATTTCTGTGAAAACGTTCCTTGTGTGTCTCTTACTATAACTTCTCGTTCACCTTAAGTTATCAGACATAAGGGCTATATAACTTTATGATGTGATTGTAGCCTACAACACTGTTGAAATTGAACTCTTCTGTCGTTTATAGCAAGTAGGTTGAAGACTAGATCATCTCTGTAATGGTTTTTTGGGGTCTTAATAGTTGGATGTTATACGAATATCAATAGATTTGACAATTTACGAGCTCTTGATGCTGAACATGATTAGTGTTTTGTTGTAGTTTTTGTTTTTTGATCATTTAGCTAATTTTTATTTTGTAAACCTGGTACTGCTGTTTACCGATATTTTGCATCTTGTATTTATCATTTTAAATGTGTGAAATTTACAGGAGTGTGTTATGCCTTATTTTTATGTAGTTTATGTTCTTTCAAATGCATTAAACTTGTATACATACACTTTTTTGCCTGTGCAGTTAAGTGTTCCCGGATGACTTAAAATCAGTGTTGAGTGCATCTTGTTAAACATAAGGACACCCTGGAATAAAGCAATTAAGAATTGCTGGTCTCTCTGGTATAACTGACAAGCAGTTCGAAGAGTAGAAATTCTTGCTTGGTGCAGATAACCACATTCAGCTTAGAGCCCCGAAACCTCAGTTTTTTAAAGGTGGGTTGTTGTATGGCTCTTGTGATGATGATTGTCCCATCAACATCGAAGCATGCCCCAGGTGCCAGAGACATAGTTTAGTTTATGATTGCCCTGCAAAGAGTTGCCAAGGGAAACAACCTGCTGATCGGACATGTAGGGCTTGCACGCTCTGCATAGCTCGCTGTATTAGTTGCGGGTGCTGCCTTAAAGACTCTGATTATGAGGAGACATTTTGTCTAGACTTGCTTTGCTTGCATTGTTTGGAGAGTCTACTTAACTGTTAAGAGAAGCATGGAGAAAAGGGCGCTCCCAAGTGCGCCATATTCTGTCAGGAGAACAGGTATCAATTTTGGCTTTTTGGCTAAGAGAAAGACATCAAATATTCATTTGCTGTTGGTTGTGGATTCGAATGTACAAGGTTCGGGTGTTCAAAAGTGGGCAGAAGTTGTTTAGTGCATGCTTGGTTGGGGCAGTAAGGATTTGTATTACCATGAGGAAGCTGCAGCTTGTGAAGCTAGAGATAATCTCCCGGGAAACGAAATTGAAAATTAAAAAAAAAAAAAAGAAAAAAGGGGAACAAAAGAGAGTGAAGATTAGAACTGTGAGGAGGAGAGGAGGTTACACAAGAATGGTTGATTGGAAAAGAAACAGGAGGGGACACATAAGAGATCAAGAAGTTTATTTTGAACATGTTTTAGCTCATTCTATGTTTGGTTCCTGTCCTGGAGACTTACCAAAGGGTGATGAAGAAAAGATGTCGGAAAGTTGAAGCACCGGGTGTTAGTAGCTGTCAATTGTTAGTCGAAGCAGATACCATAGTCAAAGTTGAGAAGTTTTATGGGTGCAGACGAAGAGCAGCAGCCGTACAGGGACAAGCAGAAAGTCATGGCAGAGCTGGACGGAGTTGTGAAATACTACTGCCCGTGCCACCACCGCTGCCGGTAGGATGTTACAGTTGGATGATTTCGAAGGATGTTTGTGCCATGGTTGGTGGAATGTGCAGTACTAATTCAGTTGAAAGCTACAGATTTGCTGTTTTTCTCTTCCTCTTTGGGAAGATAATATTAGATGCAGTGTTTATCTTATTTCTATGTTGCTAATGTGATTTCTTCTCATTTCATCCTCTTGAGAATTGCTGCTATGCACATTTTCAAGTGCTTGATTTCTGTTACTAAATTTCCATTACTAGATCTGTTACTGCATAACCCTGTATTTCATAGGACACGTTTTGGGTTCAACTCCTGGTGCTGATAAATCACACGATGGTAAGGGAGGCTCAAATGCCTCTATGAATCTTTATGACCTCCGAAATGATAGACTGTCCCGATTATTAATATTATTTTTAAAACTACAACTTGTAATTTTGGCACGTGACATTACGACCAATGATTTGATATTATGTGTTTTAACTTTTCTATGTTGTGTCGTTAGTTTGAATATCACGATGGGGTCGGTGTTTGACATGAATTTCTACAATTCGGGAACAAAAGTGGAAACATTTTTGCACTTTTCACTTGATGTAAGCGTTCACATGGAACATGTTGACGTGTCTCATTTCTTCAAATTATTAATAAAAAATAAATAGGTTATAATTTAAATGAAATTATACGTGACGTGATTATGTTACTGATACATTAAGAATATTCTAGAACAACTGTGGGTTAGGGTTCGTTTTTTTCCTAAACCGACTCCGTGTTCGGCAATTGAAATTGATGTTTTGCTGACATTTAGTACTACGGTCAAGTAATATTTTTTTTTTCACTTGTAATGAGAGGTTTTAAGTTCAATTTTCGCCAAAGGTGAATTTGAACCATATTATTGCTATCTTAGGCCATCTCCAACCGATGGCTGGCCAGAAGGATCGTTTTAGCCTTCTGGCCATCCAAGATATTAATATTTTAATGAATTGTACAGGGCCATATTTGCCTCCATCTACAACCGAGGGCCAAGGGCCAGAGGGCTCGTTTTAGCCCTATCACAAAAAACCGTTTCCAATCGAGGGTCATAGAGTCAAACATAATTTATTATTTAAAAACTACAACTTAAATATGTTTAAGTTTCATGTTGTTAAATGTTTTTTTAACAAATATGCAAAACTAGAAATGTTTTTAATAATTTGTTAAATGTTGTTAAAAACTACAAATTTTGTAAAATAAAAGTTATAGGAAAAAAATAGAATTAAAAAAAATGAAAAATAGAAATTACAGGAAAATTTTCGTAAATAAAAAATAATAATAAAACTGTAAAAAAAAAAAATTCAAATCAATCATGTCAGTTACTGACTGGATTTCCATTTTTTCTGCCCTCCAGCCCTCTCCGATTCTGTTGGCCCCTCTCACATTCCACCGTCCATTGGCCTCGCCCTTGGTTGGAGACGATTTTCGGACTATTTTCGGCCCTCTAGACCCTTCGGTTAGAGATGACCTTACTGTTGTTAGGTTAAGCGTGTAGATAATATCATTTGTTAAAAAAAAAAAAATTGATATTTTACTTGACCTAAACCCGGTTGAACTCTGTCATTTCTCTCTTCTCCCTCAAGACTGCACTTACGTGAACAAAGCAAAACCCAAGTCCGTCGGAAAATCGTCAGCCATGGAGAACGGTGAAATTCCCGAAGACGCCAACGAACGTAAGCCCTTTTTCTTAATTCTCCGGAGCTTTTCATTAATTTTTTGTTCGTCGTGATTCTTATGGTTTAATTTTTGTGGGATACTACTGGTTTTAGATTGCCCGGGTCCGCAGTCCGAATCGGCTGGAAAATCCGACGCCTGCGAAGGATGCCCGAACCAGCAGATTTGTGCTACTGCACCCAAGGGCCCCGACCCAGGTTTCCTTTCTCTCTCTTGCTCCTAAAGCTCTGTGCTTTTTGTTCTTCCTTTATCTGCAGCTTTCAACTGTTTTTTAAGTTAATTTCAGCCTGCGATTACTGTAAATTCTTTGTTTTTGTTTTAACTATGAGTATAATTTTGAAGAACAAGCCAAAGCGGATGGTTTATGTTAATTTCATGAAATTTTTTATCATGATCATGAATAATTTAGCCTGAATAATACAATAGTTTAGACATGTAGTCCTTGGAGCTAATGAAAGACTTGGCACAAAATCGAGCGCAGTGATGTTCTAGGATTCATACAACCAACCCCACGTAGTGGGATAAAACTTTGTTGTTGTTTGTTGCGCTTGATCTCTATGTTTCGAGCTATTTATGTTCTAAAATATATTTGTAGACTTGATGTCTGGCAATTCTTTTGAGCTATGGATTAGAAGAATTTTTTTGTACCGAAATTACTTCTTAATGTTCTGCCCCCAAACTGACTTAAGTAGTTATTTGGCTTATACCTTATTATATCTTTGGTGGCGGCGTTGTTGGGCAGAGGGTGTAATATACAAAATATACACACTATAAGATTTCTTTCGAAACCCTGGTTTTCCAAGCTGTGGTAATTAGTCTTCCCTTGTTATTGTGAATTTTTTTGCGCAAATATTCGAGCAGATGTGTGTTAAGTGAATTATATGTTAGAACTCAATGTTTGATCAAACGATGAACCTTTACGTTTAATTTTTCAGTAGCTGGCTTGCGACCTTTATTTCAAAGTTTTATTAGGTAATCATTGCAAGGCATCCAATGGATGCCTGTGTATACTGTATCACTAACCCGTCTTTGATTTTCATCGTTTGTGTGACTCTGTGAGTTCGTTTTCCTCTTTACAAGATTGTATCTTTTATGAATCAAGAATGATGTGCTTTATTGTCTTGATGATTTGTATATTATTTTGGTACAGACGTGGTTGCAATTGCTGAAAGGATGGCCACTGTAAAGCATAAGATACTGGTTTTATCAGGAAAAGGTGGAGTTGGCAAGAGCACATTCTCTGCCCAACTTGCATTTGCACTAGCAGCTATGGACTTCCAGGTGGGACTTCTTGATATCGATATTTGTGGCCCGAGCATCCCAAAGATGCTCGGCCTAGAAGGCCAAGAAATCCACCAGAGCAACCTTGGCTGGTCTCCTGTCTATGTTGAGCAAAACCTCGGGGTCATGTCAATTGGGTTTATGCTTCCGGATCCTGATGACGCTGTTATTTGGAGGGGGCCGCGCAAAAATGCGCTCATCAAGCAATTCTTGAAGGATGTTTATTGGGGCGAGCTTGATTTCCTGATAGTGGATGCTCCTCCTGGAACCTCGGACGAGCATATTTCAATTGTCCAATACCTTGATGCTGGCTCAATAGATGGTGCAATCATAGTCACCACTCCACAACAGGTCTCCATGATTGATGTTCGGAAAGAAGTAAGTTTCTGCAAGAAAGTTGGAGTTCATGTCCTTGGGGTTGTTGAAAACATGAGTGGTTTGTCCCAGCCATTGATGGATTTCAAATTTTTGAGGATGACAGAGACTGGTGAGCAAGTCGACGTCACAGAATGGGCTAGGGAGCAGCTGAAAGAGATATCGCCAGAATTTTCAAACATAGTAGCTTTTACTGAAGTGTTTGATAGCAGTCGCGGTGGAGCTGAAAGAATGTGCGGGGAAATGGGGGTACCCTTTCTGGGGAAGGTACCGTTGGACCCGCAGCTTTGTAAGGCGGCCGAAGAAGGTAGATCTTGTTTTGTTGATCAGAAATGTGGGGTGAGTGCACCTGCACTGAAGAAAATCGTTGATAAAATGATGAAAAATCAGGGAATAACTGCAATGTTGGTCGACAACGATGCATAGGTGAATCGGCTACACCAAGTATCTTCATAGGTCGAGATTTTGTTCTTGTTTTTCCCCAACATTTTGATGATTTGTAGTTTTGCTTTTAATGAATCATATACAATGTGACATGAAATATAATTTTCTGATTAAAACGCGTATAGTTTACATATTATCGAGTGTATATGGACATTAAGGTTGGCAGATAGGAGGAAATTTTGATTCGTATTTTGAGCAAGCTATGTACTGTCATTCAAGAAAGCTAAAAACGCATAACATTACATGATTGACTTGTGATATAATTGGAGGGTACGGGTGCAACCTGGCGGGTGGGGGAATTTTGGTTTGGGTTAGGGTTTTGTCAAGTTAGAAAAATATGAACCCAACCCAACCAAAGTGAGTTCAATCTTTCTATGCTAAAGTTGACTTGATAACGTATTTCAACCATCGGAATCGTATAGAATAATACGGATTTAATTGAGTTACCCGAATAGAGTTCGAGCAAGTTCATATTGATCCAACTCCAATTACGCCGTGATTAAAAAAAAAAAAAAAAAAAAGGGTTCACTTCAAGACAAAGGCGCAATGCGGCAAGCACTTTGGATAAGATATAAAAAAAAATCCAACGGCTGAGATCATCTCCATATTAAATATAGCTCGTCTCCTAAGCTCGCTCACACGACCGCGCCTTCCCGCATCCGATTCCCTCCTCTTTGTCCTTTGTCCCATCTTCCTCCTCCGCTCCGTATTATCCGCTACACCCGCATGCCAATCCACTCCCCTACACCCTCAAACCCCAGCCAGTAGCAATCCGACATGTACCACTCGGAGAAGCCCCGCGCCGTTGACTTATACAAGGGAGGAGGACTTGAAGAAACGGAGACAGAGATGATGATGGAGGTGGCGGCGGTGAATGGGAGAGCGCCACCTCACCACCAAAACCAAAACGAACGAGAGCAGCAGCAGAGCAGCGGTGGCGAGGGGGAGGAGCAGGAATTGTGTGCGGCTGTGAGCAGCAGAGCAGGAGGCGGTCCAGGCGGTGCCGCCGGGCCGAAGAAACGGGCGGAGACGTGGGTCCAGGAGGAGACCCGGAGCCTGATAGGGTTTAGGAGAGAGGTAGACGGGCTTTTCAACACGTCAAAGTCCAACAGGCACCTGTGGGACCAGATCTCGGCGCGGATGAGGGAAAAGGGCTTCGACCGATCGCCCACCATGTGTACGGACAAGTGGCGGAACTTGCTCAAGGAGTTCAAGAAGGCTCGCCACCAAGTTAAAGTCGGTGCTCGTTCTGCTAAGATGTCTTATTACGAGGACCTCCAGGACTTGCTCAGAGATCGCACCACCAATTCCAACTCCGCCACTGCCAACAGCAACCACAATTCTGTTTCTGCTGCCGCTGCCGCCGTTGCCACTCCTCCCAAGTTAGATTCTTTCGTTCGATTTTCTGATAAAGGTGAGACATTTCGTGAGCTGGGACTGATAAAATCCGAAATTCCCAATTCGTCCCTTTCGAATTGTTGTTAATTTTACTTCTCTGCTAATAACTTTGAGAATTATGCCTACCCATTTTTGTAAATTTGATTATTTCTATTTGAATTTGGAAAAAAAATTACAGGTCTTGAGGATTCAACTATTCCATTTGGGCCTATGGAAGGTAACAACATTACACTCCTTTTGCTTTGCATGTGTGTTTTGCAGTTTGCAGTTTTGCAATTTGAATGTGATTTGTGAAAAGAATGCTTGTTGATATCTGTTTGTTTGTAGCTAATGACCGATCGGCGCTCAATTTGGAGAGGCAGCTGGATCACGACGGTGGTGACCCGCTTGCTATTACTGCCGCGGATGCGGTTGCAGTCAATGGGGTTCCTCCTTGGAACTGGAGGGAGGGTCCTGAAAATGGTGAGCTTTCTTTCGACGATACAATTGGGTTGCCAAAATTTTCCCTTCGAATTTGAAAGAATATTGGTAATGCATGTTGGGAACAGTACTTAGATCGGCTGTGAGGAACCTGTTTTCGAGACCTGTAATGCAAAGCCACCACCTTTCGTCTATATTAAACAGCCTTCGTCAAGAAATGCGATTTTTACGACCTCACAATCATGCTACATTGCATTGATTTAGGATCCTTCTAGCATAGGATGTATTCTGATTTTAGTTGGGAAATACCAACAGCAAAACGAGCTTCAGTTTTATGAGTATGGATTTGCTTATCGTGTTCATTCTGCTTTTCATCTCATTGTTTGAGTTCTTTCTCTCTCTGTCTCACTGTCAAGCACTTTCACGGCACTTCCCCTGTAAGGTTTACCTCGCCTGTCAAAGTATTGCAAATCTCCTTCGTTGAGGCTCAGAAATATCTGTGGATTAAGCGAGACTGAACATGAGCTAACTGATGGGTATATTTGTAAATTTTATGCAATGTTTAAATTGCAGGAGGGGAGGACCACTCTTCTTACTGTGGAAGGATTATAACTGTTAAATTGGGGGAATACACCAGAAGGATTGGAATTGATGGGACCGGTGAAGCAATTAAGGAGGCGATCAAGTCTGCGTTCAGAATAAGAACTAAGCGGGCATTTTGGTTGGAGGATGAAGATCAGGTTGTTCGAAGTCTTGATAGGGATATGCCTTTGGGAAATTACACTCTCCACCTTGACGAAGGTATCCTAGAATCATAAGCATACATGTTTTTTTTTTTTTAATCTTATGGAACTTAAATTTGGTTTCCGGGATCCATGGTAATTAGTAAGTCGCCTTATGTTTCTTGTGGCAGGAATTACAATTAAACTTTGCCTCTACGATGACTCTGACCGCATAGTTCGAACTGAAGAAATAACGTTGTACACTGAGGATGATTTTCGTGATTTTCTTGCACGCCGAGGCTTGATGGGTTTGAGAGAGTTAAGTGGTTACAGACGCGTTGATACTTTAGATGATCTTCATTCTGGTGCAATGTACCAGGGGGTGCGACTTCTGGTGGACTGAAAAGTTTTGTATTTAGCTTTTCGTTCGGCTCGTAGTTTTGTTAACATTGTAAAGATGTAATCTGTACATTCAAAGGAATGTTCCAGTTGTGTGTAGCCCTGTTATGTCACCTGAATGAATCCTTTGTACCAGTTAAGTACTTCTTCGATTGCCTGCCGGTGATTCGTGTCAAGGAAACCCGCTTCTTTCCCGTCTCCAAAACTCCGAAACACGAGTTTTTAATCTGCTTCAGGAAGGGAGAGACTGCGTTACGCAGCCTCATCGTAACTGCTTCCGTCTTCAAGTGGTTACTGCAGTCAGTACTCTTCTGTAACGGAACTGCTTAAGAAAACAACCCAACATTTACTAGTTCTATTTTTCGTTTTTACCAATTCAACTCCGTTCATCTTTCCTGAAAAGAACGGCGACGCCGCCACCTCAACGGTCAATGACATCCATGTCAGCACAAATTTCCGACGTGGACAAATAGCATTTGAGAATTGAAGCCTATAAGTAGCTCTCATACTCTCACTCCCTTGTCAAAATTACATGTCCTTCCACTCTCACTCTCTTTACGTTTTAACCAAAACAAATTGCTCATCATCATGTTCAAGATCAAGATTGGCATCAATGGTATGTTGCTGTATTTAATTTTGCATTGCTTTCTATATATTGTAGAACTCCGTCTCTGTAAGTTTACCTTAAGTTGCCGGTTCCAAGCCCGGGAAAAGGAGAGGGAAGGCGTTATATAGCCGACAACCGGCACTTTGTTTTTCCGTCGATCTCTATGATAATGAATCCTAAACGAAGAAATTATTGTTGTTGTTTGTTTTCTATGTGATGAAGGATTCGGAAGGATTGGCCGCTTGGTGGCCAGGGTTGCTCTGCAGAGAGACGACATTGAGCTTGTCGCTGTCAACGATCCTTTCATCAACATCGAATACATGGTACGTATAATGATGTATCCTGCATTTTACACCAACACTAATGTATGTGTTTGTACATGAAAGCACAGCGATAAGATGAGATTATGAGCACGTTAATTGTAATTTCATGACGTGTTTTGTTTAAACGTAAAATTTGAGTGAAACACCAACGAAATAATTCGAAAAATCCATGGATGCAGAGCTACATGTTTAAGTACGACACTGTTCACGGGCAATGGAAGCACCACGAGCTTAAGGTTAAGGATGATATGAGCCAGTCAAAGTCTTTGCTTCTAGGTATGATTTACTTTTAATTAATCATCAATTAGTGCTAATTAAGCTAGCTTAGTTAGTAGAGCGAAATTTCCAATGATTGGGGTTGCATATTGTGACTAGGGACCCTGAACAGATCCCGTGGGGGGAGGCCGGAGCGGAATATGTGGTCGAGTCCACCGGAGTTTTCACCGATAAGGAAAAAGCCTCTCTGCATTTAAAGGGTGGTGCAAAGAAGGTTATCATTTCTGCCCCAAGTAAGGACGCCCCAGTGTTTGTTGTGGGTGTCAATGAGAAGGAGTACAAGCCAGATCTTGACATTGTCTCCAATGCCAGTTGCACTACCGTCTTGCCCCATTGGCAAAGGTACCTAGTCTCAATTTCTTAGGGACACTTTTGGGAATGATTTTGAAAGGGTGAAAGGCGTTTTATGACAACCAATAGCGCTTCTGATTACTTTCGATAGAAACAAGCCAGGAGTGGTTTTGGGTCATACGAGGGTTGATTGAAGAAGCGTCTGCTATATGCTTCTTCAAGAAGCAGTTAGACTTCTAATAACTTTAACGTGTTGCTAATAAAAGCACTTCTAGCATAAGCGTTTCTCATGTTGATTCAATTAACAGGTTATTCATGACAAGTTTGGTATTGTGGAGGGTCTTATGACCAGTCAGCAGCGAACGGAATGCAGCCACTCAAAAGACTGTTGACGGACCCTCGATGAAAGACTGGAGAGGTGGCAGAGCTGCTGCTACCAACATCATTCCCAGCAGTACTGGAGCTGCCAAGGTATTGATTGGACGATGATACATTGTATGATAGTTTGACAGATTTTTCTGCTTAAACCATGCTTTGCATTCGTTGCGGTGTTTGATTTTTGTGTAGGCCGTGGGGAAAGTGCTGCCCGCATTGAACGGGAAGTTGACGGGAATGGCATTCCGCTTTCCCACGGTGGATGTTTCGGTGGTTGATCTCACGGTAAGACTCGAGAAGAAGGCCACTTACGACGAGATCAAAAATGCCATCAAGTAAGCCTCACAAGCATTCTCCTCTTCGCTACGACTTTGAACTGATGCTATATTTCTGGGCGCCGTTGTGTTTTCCTCGAAAGTCTAATGTTATATGTGATTAAATTGTAGGAAAGAATCAGAGGGCAGCATGAAGGGAATCCTCGGATACACCGACGAAGATGTGGTGTCGACGGACTTTGTCGGCGATCACCGGTGAGAATTTTCGACAGTTTCGTTCTCAGTTGCTGCTCTGTGTTTTGTGGGTTGATGATATGTATTTGGAAATTATGGAACAGGTCGAGCATTTTCGATGCCAAGGCTGGAATTGCTTTGAACGACAACTTTGTGAAGCTTGTGTCTTGGTATGACAACGAGTGGGGTTACAGGTAATTTCCTCACAATCTACTTCGTTATGAATTAAGAATTCCGAAGAGAAGCTGTTATTTGCGCTCTAAAATGTCATCTTGTGTTGATCTGTACTGAAAAATGCGGAATGGCTTTGTTGCAGCTCGCGAGTAATTGACTTGATCCGTCACATTGCCTCGGTTAAATAGACGACTCAGACCATTTCTCGGGATTAATTACGAGGCAGGGCAGCTTAAGCTTGTTTTTCGGAATAATCGATCATCTTCGAGGGTGATCAAGTTTTGCAGGGGACTGGTTCCAAGAGTGTTAAGAAGCTTTAGCTTTAGTTTTGGGGTTGGTTATTCAAAACAAAACAATTAATAGCATCTCTTTACGAAGATTTTCTTGATTGTGATTAACCGACCACGATAACAACAAGAAGAAGCCTTATCTAACTAAATAAGATCAACTGTATGAATCTTAGAATGCCACTGTATCCAATTTTACGCAATATTTATGTCTTCCTCTACCTCTTTTGCCCTGACCCTCCGCAATGCCACATCTTCTAACTAAAGCATTTGTAAGTCTTCGAGCATTTTCCAAAGCAGAAGATTGGAAGTGAAAGAGACACAAAATCAAAAGGCTTTCAACTCAAGATTGAGTCACTTGAAGATCGAGTAACATCCAACAAGCAAAGGCACAATGAACCTCAACGGTCTTTCATCTCGCTTCCGATGTGTCACGCCCCAAACATTGCCAAGCATAGGCACAAGAATATGCAACAGCAACATGCGAAGCCATACAAGAAAAAACCGTTGAAATAGGTGCAAAATTCAGTAAACACATGATCCATCAACATATTAACAAAAGTGCTCCATTTATATTCGACTACTATCGCATAGCGAATTCAGTCAGAACTGCATTATCAACGCAACATCCATGGAACGTTCCTAAACACCGATTTTCATTCTGAAGAAGTTCCAGATAGTACGTCTTCCCAAGTAAAAACAAAAAATACTGTAGAAACAAACCACTCAGAAGTTCGCTGTATTCACGATCCGGTCTTCTTGTTATGCCACAATTGGAACCCTACAAATTGCACCAGAAAAAGTTCACAATCTACGACGACTAATGTATCATGGTACATAAGAGGTGGAAAGAAACATAAAATAAACCTCATTCATATTTCTCGTGTATGTAGGATAAAACCAAATAATTGAATTTTCGGACTTTTGTTCAAAACCCAAGTTAAAAGAGTACACACACATGTTTAGTTCTGTTGTATATTAAAAGTAATGTTAGCTTTCCAATATCCTCAATATATATAATCAAGATCTGTAGCTTAAAAAAATTTCACTAAATTCTCCTCATTCTATCTTAAACTTAGGTTCACAAGATACACCTAAACATACATTGGCAATGTGGAGCTCAACTACCGTCACATGAAGGAATTCACGATTAATACAATGTATATCTGTCGATAAAAAGATCTGTAGTAGCAAGCAATTCATCACATTATATAATCTATCACATCTACCGTGCACTGCACTGCTAGGTATGAAGTAGAGAAAAGAAACTAAGTATATCATATATATATAACCTCAGTGCAAACGAATAACTATAGAGGACAACGCATCTAATTGCAATCATGTGTACATCAAGGTTAAGATCATCCATGCCTAGATTTAAGACAATTTTAAGTAAAATTGATCTTCGAGTTGCCCCACATTGGTCTACAGTAATCAAGAAGGTTCTGATGGAAAAATGTAAGAGAACCACAATAAAATGAATGTAGACGGTCAAAGTTCAACTGAGTTGGCATGCTACTTTTAGTGGACGGTTGCCGGTGAAATGCGGTATAACAGAGCACAAAACTATCATGCATCTTGTGTAGATTATGGTAAGAAGCATACAACAGTGCAGCTTCCCCCTCTGTGGCTAACATGCTATCATTCAAGAAGAACCATAACCCGATCATTCAAACCCCAGGGACTGCCCAGACTTAGCAAAATGATAAACCTGAGTCCCTTGAGCATATAACCTAGAAAACTTGATGAATTACCTGTCTTGGTGCCGAAAACCTAAACTCTTAGAATGCTAGTGAGCACTACTCTTTTCGAATAGTCATTCGGTTTAATCACTACTCATACACGGCACTGTCTCAATTCTAAAATGGTTTACTTGTGCTTTCGAAAATATACATTGATTACAGACGATCCCATACAGATGCAGAATGAATTACCAAATCAATGTAACAGTAAAACAGGAAGCAATTCAAACACAAAAGAAGAAGCGAAACGAAAAATTACCAATCAACGAGGGTTGAGACCGAAGAGTATGTTCTTCCCACCAGGCAGGTAAGACACATTGGGCGACCTGGCAAGCGTGTTAGCAACCTCTCTGGATGCCTCGATCCTCCTGAGCTCGATCAGTCCCATACCCGCCGACGCAGTCGCATCAGAGATGAGCTTCGCAGCCTCGCTCTCACCCTGTGCCCGGATAATCGCAGCCCGCCTCTCCTGCTCAGTCTTGGCCACCACAAATTTGGAACGCTCCGCTTCTTGCTGAGCCACCTGCTTTGCCTCCACGGCGCGCGAGAACTCCAGCCCGTACGACAAGTGCGTGATCGCCACGTCATCCAGAACAATGTTGAAATCCCTGGCGCGGCGAATCAAGCTCTCGCGCACCAGCGCCGACACGTGGGGACGCTCGGTGAGAAGCTGATCGGCGTTGAATTGCGCCACCACGGCCTTCAGAACCTCGTTGCCGATGGAGGGGAGGACCTTCTCGTCGTATTCGAGCCCTAAGGTTTTGAAGATTTGAGGGAGGCGAGCGACCTCGGGGCGCGAGAGGACACGGAGGGTGAGATTGACCATCTGGAGATCCTTAGTGCCGGAGACGGAGGAGAAGGTGTGGGGCCGGGTGCGGATGTCGAAGATGTAGGGCTTCTGGAGCCATGGGATCAGGAAGTGGGTGCCTTCGCCGATGGTGTCGTCGATGACTCCGCGGAAACGGTCGAACAGGACGGCGCGCTGGCCGCCGTCGACAGTGTAGAGCGCGGAGTTGAGGATTGTGGCGCCGGCGCCGAGGCCGATGGCGGCGCGCGCGAGGTTGGTGAGGAAGGATACGGCAGCTTGGTTGCTTCCCATCCTGGTGACGATGAGAAGATTCGAGAGAAAGGAAATGGGTTTTTGCGGAGTGAGGGGTGTAGGGTTTATCTGATTTTTGTCATAAAACCCTAACTACTTGGGCGAGAGGAAAACTACGAAATGGGCCTGGGCTTTTATTGTTGTTTGGATAACGGGCCTAAATCCATCAACTCATCAGTAGATTCATTTTGGGCCCAACTTTCTTAATATTATTGGGCCTATGAAAAGAGATTATCTTTTATCTGCTTAGCCCTTCAAAATTCTCTGCACTTTTTGCATGGGAATGTCGATAATAGCTTCCTATACACAGGAAAAGGAAAAACTTAATTTAATGGAGTTCAATTTAAGAATATTGGATATATGCAAGGGTATCCATTGTTGGTTCACAGTCTTTAGAGACGAGAAGTGACTTTTGCACACATCTTTCTCTTTTTTGCATTATTTTTTTTAACTTCAAATTGAATAAATCAAAGAAAAATCACTTCTTAAAATGAAATGAAACGATATATGAAGGTAGAATGAAATGCTTATGTTATCCTTGAGTTAATTACATGTTAATATGCAGATTTGCAGAAGATATACACTTTAATATAAAGGATATTTGATTGAATCATTGCAGGGTCCATATACTTTTGAGAAGATTGTTAATTTTATAGTTTATAGATCATAATTGTTGGTGGTGGACCAGGTGGTGGTGGTGGAAAGCAAAGCACCATCTCATCTCATGTCCTACTGCCGTCGTCCTTAATTAGGTCTTACCACCCATCTTAACAATGGTGGGGTGGGCGACATTCGATCTTACAATCTCATACTTAGTGATTCAAGAAAGGAAATTCCTTCAATTGTATAATAATATGTGGTGCTTCTCCGTGTTCCGAACACGTTAAAAAATCTCTTCATGATATCGGAGTGCGTGTGAAAATTATTTTTCTTTACAAATGTGTTCATGCTTTTTCCTTCTTTTTTTTTTCCCTTTGTTCTTAGGTCAACTTGGATGGAACATTTGTTGTCGTGAAGGTATGTAAAGAAACGTCAAACATTGGAAGTTTACTCAATCTTGCAAGTCTTTATAAGAAGTTCGATTCTTTCCCATGTTGACAATTAATTTTGTGATGAAATCTCAATTTTTTTTTTCAAGTACTCTATAGACTATAAATGGGATTTCACTTATCAAACTCAAAATAGGTGCGATCATAAGCAAAACTTGGATATTGCTTGAAAAATGAAATAGTATGCGTGTGTGTGTGTGTGTGTGTGTGTGTGTATGTATGTATACATGTCTATGCTTATGTTTAAGTATACATGTATATGCTTATGGTGGTCCTCTATGAGTTTGTACGCTTTCTAGCTAGAGCATATGAATCTACGTTAGTGATAGTGATATCGATAGTGAGCGCGACAGTGCCTTAAGAAGAGTTAGAGACTGCCACTACTACAGTATTATTGGGGCGAGCTGCTTGCAGCTGCTGACCATTAGGTCGCTGTTGTGTTAAAATGGAGACCATCCAATTATCATAGGCTTTTCTTTCTGCAATATATCCCATGTGAAGATTTAGGATTTCATGGCTCTTATTTTGAAGCAAAGAAAAAGACTACTGGTGGAGTGGATTGGATGCAGAACAAAGCACAGAAAGTATCAAAGCCAAGAACGAAGCCTGGAGAGATGATGAAAAAAGTTGAAAGGGAACTGATATGACATGTCACATGCAAACATGCATTGTTGTTGTTAAAAGGTGAGTAAACTCGTTACCTTTACCCACCCCCTATCTATGATATATACTTTTTGAATGTTGAACTCCTCCAAAAGTTAAAAAGTTGCCTTCCCTCCCACATGGCCGTGCCATCTTAATCTGCTTTTCTTTTAGCTAGAGATGTGTTGTGTGTTCCAGTAAGACTCAGTGCGCAGTACTTGGGGGTTCTACATAGCCAACTTAACAAGAAGAACTTTCTTGCAACATTTATTGTAATGTATCTCAAGTTAATGATATATTATTATGCAAAATAATAATAATATATAATAATGTTTGATTAACTTGAAATATGATTGTAACGACTAGCGACATTCATGTTGTATTAGTTTCTCTTCAAGCAAACAGTCAACAGAGCTCAGCCAATCTTACTTGTGATATACTTTAGCATCTCTTGGAATGATGAACAATCACAACTAAGGATCTACAACATCTATTTTTAGCATGTCCGCGTGCTTTAGTAGTAATTACGATGATATGTGAGTAAACTTCAAGAAACTCACGTGGTAATTAAGCATGTATGATGTGCGCATATATTATTATATACGCATCCCTTTCTGCTGATATATATATATATACACACACACAGAGTTCATCAAACTCGCATGATTTTCCTTTTTGTGTGCAAACAATAATTCTACTCTACTTGACTCTCAGTACGAAAGCGAAAAAAATTCGAATTTGAGTGCATAATAAAGACACACATATTATAACTAACGTGACTATCTAACGTCTGCAAACTCTCGAATTAAATCGGTTAACAAAACCTGCATATATCATGCATGGTTGGCTGGTTTAATGGTCTTAATATTGCAAGTAATCTGCAACATTGGCATTCCACCGAACTTTATGGACGGCTGAAAAAGGTGAACCATTTTATGGTCAGCACTTATTCTAGACGTTGGATTTGTGAATGAGTAGCCAGCCACACCCCGTCCATCCCAATAGTAAATTTCTGGAAAATTCAATTTCTTTTTCAAGTTGATTAGTTCCTAAATATATTTTGATATTTTCGTTCCCTGATTAATTATCTTGTCATTTAATAATAATATTCGACTATTATTCGTGAGATCTCCATGCATCTTTCACTTTCAGCTTCATCATATATTATTATGTTGAATGTTGATAAAGCATTGGTGATGGGAGATAAGTTGGCCTAATCAGTCTCATCTTTGATTGTGTAGTTGACTGGGACAAGAAGGTGGATTAGTCAGGTAAAGTGTCACCACTCTCACCGCTGCTGGCTTAATAAAGTTTGCTTAATTAATTAGCTAATTAATCAAAATTAAAGACTTGTCTGACAATTATTTCGTCATTATTTTTTAGTTTTTTTTTGTTCTCGTTTTAAAACCCTAAAACAAACTTGTTGGTAATCCTTTTTACGAAAACTGAAAAGTTGTCAAATGGTCAAAACAAAAATATAAATCATAAATGAAGGACCATGAGCATCCTTGTTGTGTCATAAACTCTCTCAAAAGCTCCAATTCTAAAAGCACACTGCGTTCTGTATTGTTCAGCTTTTTTATGATCATTCCGACCATCTTCCTGCTCGGTGCTGAGTAAAAACCTTTCAACCCACTGGTCCTCACCTCTATCATTACTTCAACCAATATCAGTAAATTTAATCTCTTTCTATACATCACACATCATTATCTCCAACTTTCTCAGTACAAAAGTAATCTCATTTCACCTCAAAATTTTTATTTTCAGTTAAAAAACTATGTGCATATTTCTCATATATTTTTTTTGGTAAAAAAAAAAAAATGTGCATATTTCTCATATATTAATCACCTGTTACATTATTTTTCTCTACAACTTTAATTCATCCAAGAAAGGGACTCTTCCTTTTTCTGTCTCCCATAATTCCATATGTGTAAGCCATGATTGTTGTTTCCCATCCCTTATCTCCTACTTGATATTATTAATTATTTCTCTCATCCCTCTAGACTTCCCATCTGCCCTTAAAAAAGTTATTCATCCTTATTTAATTTCTCCGTGCTATTAGTTGATGTGCTTCTTCTGTTCTAGCTGGTAGTTGATCAACTGCTTTAAATCCTCCTTTTCTTCATCTTCCTCTTCTTGGTTTCCTGAACTCTCACTCATTTTTTTGTTGTTAGTTGCATTACTTCTGCCAACAAATCAAAGTTTTTCTAGATAATATTGTTGCTCTGTAGTTTCTATTATCTTCCCAAAACTAGAAAATGCCTCCCACATATTTTCCTCTGCGGTGGGAGAGCACCGGAGACCAATGGTGGTACGCGTCTCCGATCGACTACGCAGCCGCTAACGGCCACTACGACTTGGTTCGAGAGCTCCTCCGCATAGACGGCAACCACCTCATCAAGCTCACATCTCTCCGCCGCATCCGCCGCCTCGAGACAGTGTGGGACGACGAAGCACAGTATGATGATGTAGCCAGGTGTCGTTCGCGCGTTGCGCGGAAGCTCTTCCACGAATGCGAGTCCAAGAAAGAAAAAACAAACTCTCTCATAAGGGCTGGATACGGCGGTTGGCTTATGTACACCGCCGCCTCCGCCGGGGAGCTTGGTTTTGTCCAAGAACTTCTCGAGAGAAACCCTCTGCTTGTTTTCGGGGAAGGAGAATATGGGGTGACTGATATTTTCTATGCTGCTGCTAGGAGCAAGAATGTTGAGGTTTTCAGGCTGCTTTTTGACTTTGCGGTTTCGCCGAGGTTTATGACGGGGAGCCGCGGAGAGCTGGAGGAGCACATTGGGGAGATTCCAAGTGTTTATAAACGGGAAATGGTTAACAGAGCGGTTCATGCAGCGGCGAGAGGCGGAAATTTGAGTATTTTGAAGGACCTTCTTTCGGATTGTGAGGATGTTTTGGCTTATAGGGATATTCAAGGATCAACTGTGCTCCATGCAGCGGCTGGGAAAGGAAGGGTAGAGGTGAGAAGCTGCTTCCCACTTTTCTTAAAAGTGCTTTTGCAAAGATTCAATTTTTTTTTCCTTTCCAAATTTGCTTTCTTTTCCTGCACTTTTACAAGCACGTGTCAGCTTAATTAGTCAAGTGGTTCCTGGTAACAATCGTTGGTGAGGATGATGACACAGAATAATAAAAATTTAGGGTAAAGAAAAGATGATCAAGGTCAGTATAATAATCATTTCATTTTTGGTTGTTTTAATGAGACAACTAAAAAAAAAAAATTCTCAAAGCATTCTTGTTACCATAGATGTTGGATGCATAAATTCGCTGTGCAGAACGGATGTGCATTGGTCTATGTTTTGATAACCATTTTGCTTATAGGAAAAACAACTTTATAAAATTCTTAACCTAAATTCTTAAGGCATTCTTG